CTCTGTGTGTGTGTGTATATATATATATATCTCTATTTTTCTCTCTATGGGGATAGATATATATATATATATATATATATATATATATATATATATATATATATATATATATATATATATATATCTGTATATATATATATATATATATATATATATATATATTTATATATATATATATATATATATATATATATATATATATATATATATATATATATATATATATATATATATATATATATATATATATATATATATATATATATATATATATATATATATATTAAATTAACCATCGAAACAATATGCAATTATGCAAGAAATGAACAATTGGAAAAAAATAAGATTAAACAGTGATACATCAAAAAAGTGCATTAACATGTTTATGTAATACTCACCCCGAGTGTTTCTTTAGTGTAGGTCAATTTCATGATTTACACCTCAATTTAGCCTAATTTTATCAATTAACTAATTTTAACCATAATTTCAATTTTGACCTGCCACCATCGGAGACCGTCGGTCAGCCACCGTTGACCGCCGGAGACCGGCGTTGACTTTTTTTTTTTTTTTTTTTTTATAATTTTGTTTTTTCTTAAAAAAAATATTTTAATTAATATTACTGTCTTGACACTAAATAACTGTCTCCAACAGTTATTTAACTGTTGGAGACAGTAATTTAACTGTCAATAAACTTTTTTTTTTCTTCAAAAATATTTTAACCAATATAACTGTCTTGGCTGCTAAATTACTGTCTCTAGCAGTTATTTAACTATCTGAGACAGTAATTTAACTGTTAATTGACTTTTTTTTTTATATATTTTAATTAATATTACTGTATTCGTTGCTAAATTACTGTCTCAAGCAGTTATTTAACTGTCGGACACAGTAATTTAACTGTTAATTGACCTTTTTTTTCTTAAAGAAAATATTTTTAATTAATATTACTGTCTTGGATGCTAAATTACTGTCTCCAGCAGTTATTTAACTGTCGGAGACAGTAATTTCACTGTTAATTGACTTTTTTTAAAAAAAAAAAAAAATTTCTTAAAAAAAGTTATTTTAATTAATATTACTGTCTTGGCTGCTAAATTACTGTCTCCAACAGTAATTTAACTATGTGGCACAAGATTAATAATATTACTGTTCGGGAAAATAATATTCATAATATTACTGTCTCAGACATTAATTTAGTAGCAAAGACAGTAATATTAATTAAAATATTTTTTTCTAAAAAAAAAAAAAGTCAACACCGGAGACCGGCGGTCAACGGTGGTTGACCGGCCGGAAACAAATTTCAGAAAAAAAAAAAGTTTTCAAAAACAAAATAAATAAATAAAATAAATAAATAGTCAATGCCGGTCTCCGGCAGTCAACACCAGAATCTGGCCGGAAAAAAAATTTCAGAAAAAAAAATATTTTTTCAAAAAAATTATTATTTTGGGAGTTAATGTGATATATTTGTTTAAATCCGGGGTCAATGTGTAATATTAAGGAAGTTAGAGCATAATGGATGGAATTGATAAGAATTATATTATGGAGGGTATTTTAAACTAAAGGCATGGGATGAGTTTATTTGAAATACTATTTTTTTTGTGTACCAATGTTTAATTCCCATGTGATGAGCCTATTTATCATTCGCTCATGTAAATATATATGTATAAATTACGTAAATTAAGTTTTGCATTATTAAAGAACGAAAGATATACCGTATCTTTTTTTTTGAGTGAATTCAAGTTCATTACAAGGGGAAATAGGGGTGGGGGGACTCGAACCCTAGACCGTTACCCTATTGGTAAAGGCTAGGTACCAACTCTCCTAATGAGAGTTGGTAGATATACCGTATCAATAAAGGACTATAATAATCAACAAAAAAATAAAATAAAGGACTATAATAGATTCGGGAAATATATGCATATATAATATAAATACGATATTGTTTACCCTACCGTATATTAGGTAGATACCATAATTTAATGAATACACATATATGAATCGTACTTGTATATTATAAATCACAATTTCAAGAAGGAAAATATATTAAAATCAAGATATATTAGATTAAATATTATCAATCGTGAATTGAGAGTTGATTAATTTAGATTATAATAGATTGTGGTTGAAATTGTGATTATTTCCATATTAGTATTTCTATATATATATATATATATATATATATATATATATATATATATATATATATATATCAATTAATAAATAGATATGATATATATTAGGAATTAGTTCCATATTTACTGTAATACGAATTTTAAAAAAGAGTGGGAAAATTTATACATATTTACGAAATATATATATTTAGGAAATGTATTTAATCTCGTCTAATAATTGTAATTAATAATTAGTATACACTTATTGAGATGGGATTTTTATGCAAAAGTCCCCAACCAAGCATGTTTATTATTCTAGGTTTAGGGGACATATCTCTTTTACCAATAAGCCCATCCCTTTAATATTTATTATAACTAAAGGAAACATTCATGTATATCCCAATATTACCCTCAACCATTTATACCCAATTCTTAATTGTAATCCAAATTAATCAATTTTGTCCATAAAAGTTCAATTTTGACCACAAAAATTCAATTTTGACTTTTTTTTGGAGTATAATTTAATATGCTCCAATTTCATCCTTAACTTAATTTAATCTCAATTTGACCCCAAATTTCACAAATTATTAAATTTTGACCCAAAATTTTTTTTTTTTCAAAAAATATTTTTTTTTTCAAAAACTTTTTTTTTGCCGCCGGATTCCGGCGTTGACTTTTTTATTTTATTTTTTTATTTTTTTTTTTCTTTCTTCCGGATTTTTTCGCCGGTTTCCAGCGTTGACCGGCGGTCAACGCCGGTCTCCGGCGTTGACTTTTTTTTTTTTTTTTTTTTTTTTTTTGCTTTTTTTTTTTTTTTTTTTCTTTTCTTTTCTTCCGGATTTTTTCGCCGGTTTCCGGCGGTCTCTTTTTTTAGTGTTTTTTTAAGTTTTTTGTTTTGTTTGGTTTGTTTTGTTTTTCCACGTCCGCCGCTAAACGTTGACCGTAATTGTGCTGTCACTGACAGTAAATTAACGTAATTATACTGTCAATGATAGTTAATTAACGTAATTGTACTGCCGTTGACATTACATTTATGTAATTGTGCTGCCGTTGACAGTAAATTAATGCAATATTATATTTTTTTATTTATTATTATTTTTTTTTATTTTTTTTTGATTTGTTGACAAGTCAACGTAATTATATTACTGTCGTTGACAGTAAAATAACTGTAAACACAATAATATTACTGTCAACAACATCAATATTATTATTTTTTTGTGGTGTTTGTATTAATATTACTGTCTATTATCGTAATATTACTGTAAACACAATAATATTACTGTGGTTGACGGTAATATTACTGTTTGTTATAGTAATATTCCTGTCAACCACATCAATATTATTCTTTTGTTTGGATATTTTGTTTGTTTGAGTTATTCACGGAGTAACGTAATAATATTACTGTCTACTATTGTAATATTACTGT